GTCAAAAATACAAGGAATTTGACTCCACTCCAGCAGACCCTGTAATGCACAGCAATATTAAAACAGAATAAAACCAGAACCACAAGTAAAAAACCAGAAGACAAGAATATACACACATACACATATACAAGTTTTAAAAGGAGCTACTAAATGTTACATCTGTACCTTGTTGCACAGTGGTACATATTCCGTCCTGCCATACCCTTAAACATGAATTAAGTGTTCATAAGTGTTATGGCTGGGGGGAAGAAACTGTCTCTGTGTCTAGATGTTTTGGTGTATAGTGTCCTGTAGCGCTGTCCAGAGGGGAGGAGGACTAGGTAACAAATTGTAAACAATTTGTTTTAAATCTTCATTTGAAATAATTCAAATTATTTTTACATTTATTTAGGATGTATAAAAATAGAAATTTAGAGCTTGCATTAGCAAAATTTAACTTTGTACACAGTGTAGCATTTTAGGCTTTGCTAGATGTTTCTAAAGTTGTACTTGCTAATTGTTAAACCTAATTAAAAAATTGTGTGCTTTAAGAGGCACAGTATTGACCAGTATAAAATCTTGAAGAGCAGACCTATACCAAAAGCTACTGAGTTTACTCACCTTTTGACAATACAGTGTAATCAAACACTTTAGCTGCACTCCTGCTTGCCCAGCCACACCAGTGATTTGTGTAAAAGGATCCATAACAATGTTTATATAGTGTATGCATATAACAATTTGTCATTAAAGCTGAATTCATTTCAACTATTTCACTGACTAGTTTTACAGGAAAATATTCAAGCATTCCCTGGACTAAAGGTAAAAATAAATCAATTATGAGCAAATATTTCAGCAAGTGTTTTATATCTGGAAGTTGACTCCCTATATCACAGACGTTTCTGCTGCAAACCTGCTCATGCCCTTGCAGTTCCACAGAGCTCTGGTTGTCAGCTGGAAAGCACATACACAAGGATTCATTTGCACAATGCCAAACATCTTACATATTTACACTGAAGAGTGAAGGTATCAGAAAAATTTCTAAACATTACATTTACAATTCAGCAGCACCACAGTCTCCAAAGGTATCCCTAACATTACAACTGACTTTAATTTTAGACCTCTTAGACAAAAGCTGAATGCTACAAACTTAATAAAGTTGCATTAAAAGTTGAACTTAAAAATCATTACCCCTGTGAGTCCACTCGGAGCCCCAAAAAAAGCATGGACATTCGCACTCAGTTGAAGTTATTGTCACAGGCCATCCTCTTAATGTTACTTTTACAAGCATCTCTTAGCAAATTTACACAATGTGAAAAAAGTGAGAACTTCCACCCAAGGTTGAACATTTCTGGTCGCCAATCCACCGTCTTGTTGTCTGCAGCCAGGTGCTTCTCAGGAAAAGTCACAAGTGAGGGCAATGACACTGCTTATAAAAGACATGAGGGCTACCCAGTAAGTCATAATTTAAAGAGGAGATCCTCCATTTTTTTCCTTTGGTGCCTGCAGTGTGCTTCCATATTGCATAACCTTGTCTGTAAGATTTTTTTTGCACAATTAAACCTGACGTAAGATAAAAATTAACACACAAATCTATAAACTTTCAGTTATTTATACTGTACATCATGTTGTTAATGTACATGTCTGTATAGTTTCTTGCAAAAGTGTTCTTGTGAAACTGAGGTCCTATGAAAACCAAACTCTATGCTGTACATTATGTAGACCTGTACACACAGTATGTGTCAGTAGGTTCTGAATGAGGATATTTCCCACCCAAACAATACATACTGCAGTCTCTCTGTGGCTACTTGGGTTCTCTCCAGTTAATCTGGCTTCCTCCCACAGTCCAAAGACATGCAGCTTAGGTCAACCGGCAACTCTAGAGATGTATATACTGTATGTAGCTATATATATAGATAAGTATACTGTATATCCATGCAGGGCTTTGTCCTTCCATGAGGTTTCCTGCTCTTCCTTCCCTTGTTCCTGATGTCCCAAGAGGTAGGCAGGTAGCATTAAGGGCCTTGCCTAAGGACCCAGGCTGGATAATGACCGCAGCCTGGCCAGGGTTTGAACGCCCAATCTTCCGTACCAAAGGCAGTGGTGTTAGCCACTGAGTTA